CACTGCACTCAACCAACTTTCATCTTTTTTCCCCCACTGACTTCTTATTTTAAGGCAGGGAAAATTCTTTGAACCCGGGAGGTGGAAGTTGCAGTGAGCCAAGATCACACCACTGCACTCCAGCCTGGGCAAGACAGCAAGACTCTGTCTAGGAAAAAATAAATAAATAAATAAATATAAAATAAAAAAACAAAAATCCCTTACTGCTGACCACCTTGGACCTGCCATCAGACTGTAATTCACATTGACATGAATAGGAAGTGAGAAAGTCAAAGCACCAAGCGTTCTTTCAAGCAATTTGGCTGAAGGGAAATCCTTGTTGCTTAAACTTCCTCTTTCTAGTCAGACCAATATGAGTTGCAGAGAAATGTATACTTTGAAAGACAATGTAATTTTCTCACTTAATGTTATGAATATTTTTGCGTATCAGTACTATGCATCTATATTTTATTCCCTCCAAGTCTTCATTTTGAAATATTTCAAACCTCCAGAAAAGTTACATACATAATATGAGGAATGCCAGTATATTGTTCACCTAGATTCGGCAAACATCTTACCATATTGCCTTTTTTTCTATGTATAATATATATAGGTGCATATATGTACATTTTTTTCCTGAATCATTTGAGAGTTACTTGTAGACATTATGTCAACTTATCCTAAAATACATCAGCAAGTATCTCTTAAAAACAAGTATACTCTCCTACATAACCACAATTATCAAAAACTCAAGAAGTTTAACATTGATAGAATGCTATTATTGAATATGCAGTTTATATTTACATTTCTCCAGTTATCTCAGCTGTCCTTTTTAATTTCTTTTATTTTTTTCTAAGTCAGTTCCAGCCAGGAATCACACACTGCATTGAGAGTCATATAATTTTAATGTTCTTTCATTTAGAACAGTTATGCTGCTTTTTTTTTTTTTTTTTTTTTTTTTTCTGCTTTTTTTTTTTTTTTTTTGAGGTGGAGTCTCGCTCTGTCTCCCAGGCTAGAGTGCAGTGGCTCGATCTCGGCTTGCTACAACCTCTGCCTCCCAGTTCAAGCAATTCTCCTGCCTCCACCTCCTCCCAAGTAGCTGGGACTACAGGTGTCCGCCACCACTCCCGGCTAATTTTTGTATTTTTAGTAGAGATGGGGTTTCACCATATTGGCCAGGCTGGTCTCGAACTCCTGGCCTTGTGATCCGCCCACCTCGGCCTCCCGAAGTGCTGGGATTACAGGTGTGAGCCACTGCGCCCGGCCTGCTTTTTTTTTTTCTTTTTGGCTGTTAATGACATTGATGTTTTTCAAGAGTTCAGGCCAGTTGTTTTGTCCTTCAGTTTGGATTTGCCCGATATGTTTATATGATTAGCTTCAGGTTAAGTTTTTTTTTTTTTTTTTTGAGATGGAATCTCGCTCTGTCACCCAGGCTGGAGTGCAGTGACACGATCTTGGCTCACTGCAGCCTCTGCCTCCTGAGTTCAAGTGATTCTCTGGCCTCAACCTTCCGAGTAGCTGGAATTACAGGCATGCACCACCACATCCGGCTAATTTTCTGTATTTTCAGTAGAGACAGGGTTTCACCATGTTGGCCAGGCTGGTGTTGAACTCCAGACCTCAAGTGATCTGCCCACCTTGGCCTCCCGAAGTGCTGGGATTACAGGCGTGAGCCACCACGCCCAGCCAGGTTAAGTATTTTTGACAAGAGCCACCGCGCCCAGCCAGGTTAAGTATTTTTGACAAGAACATTATATAGGGAATGTGCCCTGTTCAGTATATGCTCTCCAGAGACATGTGATGTCAGTTACAAAATTTGATGTGGTTAGAATTGGTGATTTGGTCATTTGGTTATGATGGTATCTACCAGATTTGCTCACTATAAATGTACCTTTTCTTCTTTGTAATTAATAAATGATCCTTGGAGTGATATTTTAAAACTGTGTTCCCCGACAGTCTTTATTCAATATTTTAGCTTCCACTAATGATTTTTGCTTGAATCAGCTATTATGCTTATTATAAGATGGTTTTTTTTTTTTTTTTTTTTTTTTGAGGTGGACTCTCGCTCTATGCCCAGGCTGGAGTGCAGTGGCACAATCTCGGCTCACTGAAACCTCCACCTCCCGGGTTCAAGCGATTCTCCTGCCTCAGCCTCCCGAGTAGCTGAGACTACAGGGCGTACCACCACGCCCAGCTAATTTTTGTATTTTCAAGAGACGAGGTTTCACCATGTTAGCCAGGATGGTCTCGATCTCCTGACCTCGTGATCCGCCTGCCTCGGCCTCCCAAAGTGCTGAGATTACAGGTATGAGCCACTGTGCCTGGCCAAGATGGTGATTTTTAAATTTGTTATTCCCTGTACGTCTGTCAGTATTCTTCTATAAAGAATAACTTTCCTCTCCACTTCATTTTTTATTTTTATATTTTAATTTTCTCCCTTTTTAGTGCTAATATGGACTCCAACATGGATTTCTATCCGTTCTTGTCCTCATTCATTTTGATGTTCAGAATATCTCAAACCTAGTCAGGTTAGAGCTCTCTCAAGATGGCTCCTGCTTATAACCAGCATGTCCTCATCTGTTCAGCACATGTATATTTTATGGCACAACAAAGTGGTTTTCTTCTTTCTTTTTTACTTTTGTTTTTTAATTGTGATAAAGCATACACAACAGAATGTATTATTTTACAGTTTTAAGTTTACAATTTTGGTTTGCCTTTTTTTTTTTTTTTTTTTTGAGATAGAGTTTTGTCACCCAGGCTGGAGTGCAGTGGTGCGACCTTGGCTCACTGCAACCTCCACCTCCTGGGTTAAGCGCCGATTCTCCTGCCTCAGCCTCTTGAGTAACTGGGATTACAGGTGCCCGCCAGCACACCCAGCTCATTTTTGTATTTTTAGTTGACACAGAGTTTCACTATGTTGGCCAGGCTGGTCTTGAACTCCTGACCTCAGCTGATCTGCCTGCCTTGAACACCTAAAGTGTTGGGATTACAGGCATGAACCATCACACCTGGCCTTGGTTTGCCATTTATTTATTTATTTATTAATTTTGAGACAGAGTCTCTGTCGCCCAGGCTGGAGTGCAGTGGCACAATCTTGGCTCATTGCAACTTCCGCTTCCTGGGTTCAAGTGAGTCTTCTGCCTCAGCCTCCTGAGTAGCTGGGACTACAAGTGTGTGCCACCACGCCTGGCTAATTTTTGTATTTTTAGTAGAGATGGGGTTTCACCATATTGGCCAGGCTGGCCTTGAACTCCTGACCTCGTGATCCATCTGCCTTGGCCTCCCAAAGTGCTGGGATTACAAGCATGAGCCACGGTGCCTGACCAGTTTGCCTTTTAAAATGTGGTCTTCCCTGGTTTATCCCTGGCCTACTTCTCTCATTGCTTTGATAGCTTGTCCAGAAATAATAGACTCTATTCTTAAGTTTTGGGTTTTTATTTATCAACTGTATGCTAATGACTCCCTTGTGTCTTTTTGGGACTCTAGAACTATATTACCAGTAGCCTACTAAATTCTCCAGTTATTTGTCTTATGTTTCATAGGCATCTTTTTTATATTGTGTCTCTCATTTAAAAAAATGAAAGAAAACCTACCCCTAACCTATATTTTTTATTTTGCTTGGATGCCTTAGGAGTCCCCATCCATTTATCCTAACTTCTAACATGTAATTTGTCACTAGGTCCTATCAGTCCTTTCATATTCATTCCTACTGCCATGCGTCATCTCTCTATAGAAGTTTTATAGGAGGTTTTTGGCTTTAGTTCATTGTCTTTCTAGCTTAACTCTTGTCAGAGTAGTCTTTCCTCCTTATTTCTCATTTCATTTTTTTTTTTCCTAGCAAATAAGATAATTTACTACAAGTCCAAGAAGCAGTTCTTGATTTTAGGCAAAGCTTTGTATAAGACACCAAAGAATGACTTTGCTTTTCTTTACCCCTATCTTTGGTGTACTTTCCTCTGTGTTAGCTTCATTTTCATTTATGCTTTCTCTGAGTGGGCGCAACAATGGCCATTGATAGTTTCAGGCTTACATTATTTTCAAAGTAAATGATTCCAAGGAAAATCCTTCATCCTTCTAAAATCCTTCATCATCATAAAATATAAATATGATTATCTCTCTGTTTTTCTTAATGCTATTCAGTGGTTCCTCACCCCCTTCAGGATAAAGTTCTTATTTGGCAAGCAAGAATTCATGAATTCTTGATTTGGCTTTTACATATTTTCATTGTCCTGTTGCTCTTGCTTTAAAATTTATATCTATACATACCAAGTTGCATGTGCTGTTTCCTCTGCCTGCAGTGGCTTTTCACATTGTTTACTTGCCAAACTCGTTATCTTTTAGCTAAATAAACCCCAGTTCAGATATTACTCTTCCAGGAAATTTTTATTTGATAAATTTTATGCTCAATCCCAGAAAAATTACTCTCCTATTCTACCTTTGTACCACATATGTATGTTTGTTTTTGACTTATACTAAATTGTAATCTGTTTACAATTTTTTTTTTTTTTTTTTTGAGATGGAGTTTTTGCCCTGTCACCCAGGTTGGAGTGTAATGGTGTGATCTCGGCTCACTGCAACCTTCGCCTTCTGGGTTCAAGCAGTTCTCCTGCCTCAGCCTCCCTAGTAGCTGGGTAAACTACAGGCACCTGGCACCATGCGCAGCTAATTTTTATATTTTTAATAGAGATGAGGTTTCACTGTGTTGGCCAGGCTGCTCTGGAACTCTTGACTTCAGGTAATCCACCTGCCTCAGCCTCGCAAAGTGCTGGGATTACAGGTGTGAGCCACTGTGCCCAGCCTACAAATTTTCTTTATATCCATTAGATCATTAAATCTCTTTGTCCCTTTTTGAACAAGGCAAGGTATAAATTTATTAAAAATAACAGTAACAAAAAAAAAATTAGGCTTTGGTTGTGCATCCAGTTGTGGTAGACTGGCTAATTCAGATCAACCCTATTGCTGAGAACAGCTGAAAAAGTAGGTTTAAAAAATCTGTGTGAAGGCACAGTAGAGGGCCAAGACAGTAAAACATCATGTGGTCAAAATCTGGAAAGAGAGTCAGAACCCAGCAGCCGTGGACCCCGTGGAGCCGCCAGCCCCGGGCCTGTTCCGAGACTTCGGGGAACCTGGTCCAAGCTTTCCGGGAACGGCGGCAGGTACCGCGGCCCCGCGCAGCCCCTGGTGGCAGCGTAGGGCAGCCCAGCAGAAGTTCCACCTCGTGCCAAGCGTCAACAACATGAGTGACAGCCAGGAGCTGCAGTGGATGGTACAGCCTCATTTCCTGGGGCCCAGCAGTTACCCCAGGCCTCTGAACTACTCCCACAACCCCAGCCAGGAGTCATCCGGGCCCCAGGGCCGCCTCCAGGGGTACGTCTAAGGCCTTGTGAACAGATCAACCTGGAGGAAGAGGAGCGCCGCCGAGTAAGGCGGGAGCGGAACAAGCTGGCTGCGGCCAAGTGCGGGAACCGGAGGAAGGAAATGACCGACTTCCTGCAGGTGGAGACTGACAAACTGGAAGATGAGAAATCCGCGCTCCCGAGAGAGATTGAGGAGCTGCAGAAGCAGAGGGAGCGCCTGGAGCTGGTGCTGGAAGCCCACTGACTCATCTGCAAAATCCCCGAAGGAGCCAAGGAGGGGGACACAGGCGGTACCAGCAGCACCAGCAGCCCGCCAGCCCCCTGCCGCCCTGTACCTTGTATCTCCCTTTCCCCAGGGCCTGTACTTGAACCTGAGGCACTGCACACCCGCATGCTTATGACCACACCCTCCCTAACTCCTTTCACCCCCAACCTGGTCTTCACCTATGCCAGCACTCCTGAGCCCTGTGCCTCAGCTCGTGGCAAAGGAGTAGCAGCAGCAGCGGAGACCCTCTGACCCCCTTGGCTCTCCACCTGTTCTCGCTTTGTGAGGCACCCGAGCCTTACTCGCTGCAGGTGCCACCCTAAGCAACGTCTCCTCCCCTTCCCGCACCGGTCCAGCTGACCTGGACAGTATCCCACACCCAACTCCAGCAGCTTCTTCTCCATCCCTCTAATGAGACTGACCATATTGTGCTTCACAGTAGAGCCAGCTTGGGGCCACCAAAGCTGCCCACTGTTTCTCAGGAGCTGGCCTCTCTAGCACAATTTGCACTAAATCAGAGACAAAATGTTTCCCATTTGTGCCGGAGGAATCCTGGCAGCCCAGAGACTTTGTAGATCCTTAGAGGTCCTCTGGAGCCCTAACCCCTTCCAGATCACTGCCACACTCTCCATTACCCTCTTCCTGTGATCCACCCAACCCTACCCCCTGACAGAAGGTGCCACTTTACCCACCTAGAGCACTAACTCTCCAGCCCCACTGCCAGCAGCAGCAGGTGATTCGAGCAGGCCATTTTGCCGCCCCCTCCTGAACCGCACAGCTCAGGAGGCGCCCATGGTTTCTGTGATGAGCTGATCTGCGGATCTCAGCTTTGAGAAACCTTCAGCTCCAGGGAATCCAAGCCTCCATAGTGAGGGCAGCTGCTGTTTATTTTCCTAAAGAGAGTATTTTTATACAAACCTACCAAAATGGAATAAAAGGCTTGAAGCTTAAAATAAAAAATTTAAAAAAGGTCTGGAAAGAGAAGGAAACCTAGAGAAATAAGGCTAACATTTGGGTCTTCATTTCCCTCAGTCGCATCTGCCAGTTCCATCCTAGGCCTCAAACTTTTAGTAATGTCTGGTCATCAAAAAATAACCAGGAATATCAGAAGACAATATGATATGATAGAAAAAAACAAAAGAAACAACAGGAAATAGACCCCTAGTGATCCAGAAAATAGAGTTATCAAGCAGACTTCATTTTTAAAATAAAAGACTTTCATTTTTAAAATAAAAATAAAAGATAAGATGGAGAATTTCAGTATAGAGCCAGAAACTTTAAAAAATAATCAAGTGGAAATTTTAGAACTGCAAAATATGATAAGTAATGGGTAGGCTTAATAGTAGATCAGGACAGTGAAAAGATAATTATTAAACTAGAGGATGGATCAAAAGAAAAATCCAGAGTGAAGCATTGAGCAAAAAGATGGAAAATACAGAAAAGGGTGTAAGAGACATAGTCCAACACATATCTTTGAATCCTCCAAAGGGGGAGGAGAGAGAATAAAGCATAAGTAATATTTGAAGAGATTATGGGTAAGAATTTTCCAAAACTGATGAAAGACACCAAAGGACAGATTCTAGTCCTAAAAACTTCAAAGAAGATAAATACAAAGAAAACCTCATCGAGACCATCCATATAAAACAGCTGAAAACAAATAAAAGCTGGATAAAAAGGACAGATTACTTTACAAGCATTAATAGTAAGACTTACAGCTAACTTCTCAATAGAAATAATGGAGGTGAGGGAACAAAGGGATGATGTAGTTACAGTGCCTGTAAGGGAAAGTAGTGTTCAAGAATAAAGGTAAACAAATAATTGAATTGTATGCTTAAATAGGTGAATTTATGAGGTGTAAAATAAAGCTCTAAATAAACCTGTATAAAAATGAAGGTAAAATAGAGATATTATCAGAGACATGAAAACTATGAAAATTTATTTTCAGCAGATCTGCTTTAAAGAAAATACTAAAGGGAATTTTTCAGGCAGAGGAAAATGATTCCAGAAAGAAGCTTGGAGATGCACGAAGAAATGAAGAGCAATGGGAAGGGTAAATATGTGTGTATATTTAAATAAATATTGGCAATAAACACAACAAAGCTGGTGTAACTCTATTTACTGTAACAGGCAAAGTAGGTTTTTAAGGCAAAACTTATTCAAGATATAAAGATGGATGTTTTATAATCATGACAAGTCTCATTGCCTCAGAAGATATGATAGTTCTAAATTTGTGTGCCTCTAATAATGTAGCTTCAAAATACATAAAATTTACAGGCAAATAGGTGCATTCATAATCATAGTGGGAGATTTTATAAAGAAAAGTGTAAGATGGAGCAATCAGAACCAAAAAATCAGTAAGGTTATAGAAAATGTGGATGCAGTTTAGAAAAGTCAATTCCAATTGGATTAGTTCTGAATGTGAAACACAAAATAATAAAACTTACAGAAATAATAACTCAGTAATATTTGATTGGGGAAGATTTATTGAACAGGAAACACAGTGAAGGAAGTGATTGATAAATTGTACTACATTAAAGGACTTCTTTTCATCAAGATACTATAAGAGAATAAAAAGGCAAGTTAAAAAGTGTCAAAAGGTATTTACAACATTTTATAAAGAACTCTTACAAATCAATAAGAGAAAGACAACCCTATAGAAAAATGAGCAATAGTATTGAATAGTCACCTCAACAAAGGAAGCTATCCAAATCAGCAAATATACTCAAGGTTTTCAGCCTCATTAGTAATCAGAGAGATGCAAATTAAAGCTACAGTGAGATAACACGTATACCTACCAGGATGACTACATTAAAATCTTTTTCTGAATTTTTATTTTGAGATATTTATAGATGCACAGGAAGTTGCAAAAATTGTACACAGAGGTACTGTATACCCTCACTTCCCTTCAAATATCACATCTTGTATAACTATATATACATCTTATATAACTATAGCACAATGCTGGGCAAGGTGGCTCATGCCTGTAATTCCAGCTGTTCTGGAGGCTGAGGCAGGTGGATTGCTTGAGGCCAGGAGTTCGAGACCAGTGTGGGCAACATAGTGAGACTCCATCTCTTAAAAAAAAAATTAAAAGAAAAAAAATAGCCTGTCATGGTGGCATGCACCTGTAGTGCCAGCTACAGGTTGAGGCAGAAAGATCAACTGGGCGCAGGAGTTCAAGGCTACAGTGAGCTGTGGTCGTACCACTGTGTTCCAGTCTGGGAAACAGAGCAAGACCCTGTCTGTAGGGGGGGAGAAAAAAGGAAATACATTGTATAATATTAAAACCAGAAAATAATATTAAAACCAGACATTTCTTATCACAAATGTATGTGTATAGTTTTGTGCCATTTTATCACCTGTAGATTCATATAACTACCAGCACAGTCAAGACACTGAACTGTATTAATATCACAAAATTCTCCCTGTGCTCTCTAAAGTTTAGAGTCTTTAGAGTCTCACTCACTTGCCTCACCTCCACTATCCCTAACCCCTGGAAACCACGAATCTGTTCTTCATCTCTATAATTTTGTCATTTTGAGAATGTTACATGATGGAATCACACATTTCTTAGAACAGTTTTATATTCATTGCAAAATTGAGCAGAAGATAGATCTTCCATAGATCTTCTTCCCCCACACAAGCATAGCCTCCGGTATTGTCAACCTCCCCTACCACAGTGGTACATTTGTTGCAATTGATGAACCTACCTAGATGTATCATTCTCACTAAAAGTTTATAGTTTACATTAGGGTTCATTCTTGTTCAAATGGCTAAATTTTGAGACTGAAAATACCAAGCATTGGTGCAGAAGTAGATCAACAGGAACTTTAATATACTGCTAATGGGGAAATAAATAGGTACAGCCACTGTGAAAAACTGGTATTTTCTACTAAGGCTAAATAAAAACCTGCTCAATTCAGCAATTCCACTCCTAAGTAAATATCCAACAAAAATTTGTGTTCCTGTTCACCAAAAGAAGTTTTTGTAAAAACGTATTTATAGGAATTCATTTGTAATAGCTGTAATCTGAGAAAGGACCCAAATGCTCATCAATAGCAGAATGGATTTCTTTAAAAATTGCAGTGTATTCATATGGTAGAATAGAGTAAGGGTAGACAGACATTTTCTGTACAGAGCTGTAAAGTAACTACCTTAGACTTTGTGGGTCATACGTTGTCAGTGGTCATACGTTATCCACCTAACTCTGCAGTTGTAGCAATGAAGTAGTCATAGGCAATATGTAAACAAATGGGTGTGGTTATGTTCTAAAACAGCCATTTATAAAAACAGACTTTAGCCTTTGGGCCTGTAGTTTGCTGACCTCTGCTGTAGAGCCACAAACTGTGATTACACGCATGTACGTGGATCAATCTCCTAAACATAATTTTGCATGAAAGAAACCATACGGTATAATTCAATTTTTATAAAGTTCAGAAACATGCAAAACACCTATTGTATTGAAGTCAGTGTATGAGCTATCTGGGGGGGAGAAAGAGGAGATCCTGACCAGAAGGGACATGAAAAGGAAGCTTCTAGGGTGCTAGTAATTGCTTTACCTGAATGGTGATTACTTAAGTCTGTTTACCTTTGATTATTCATTGAGATGTATACTTATGATTTGTACACTTCTCATGTATGTGTGTGTGTGTGTAATACATTAATGAATTAGTTAAAAATAAAAACTAAACTAAAACATATACAACTTGTGTTTCCATCAGGGTAGAATTGTGTTATTTATCTCTGGCATGTAGTAAACATACAATAATTATTTACAGAATTGGGAGTTGCTAATAGCAAGCTCTGTAGCAAGATAAGGGACAAGAGGAGTGAGCAATGATTCTGATTTAGCCTGAAGAGCTTATTGAAAACTTTTGAGGAAGAAATGTTGATAAATATACATTTTGACATAATTAAAGATACTTTAGTGATAAAAAGATCATAATCTAAAAGGCTAACATTGGGATTTAATAAACGGTTTGAGCTGACAAGTGACTTCATCTTTGAAGACAGAAGGAAAAGATTCTTTTGTTATTAAGAGCAAGCTACTACTTGTAATGATATTTAATTTGCTTCCTATTTTAAATTTGCTTCAATCTGACAAATTCTTTGTTATGTTTTTTACTTGCTTAAACCCTCTTTGGATGTTGCCTGTAAAGATTCATGTACCCATTAGTACCTTGTGGCATAGATGTGATATAGGGTTTTATTGGGAAAAACTTAGAAGAAATAGTAGAGTGTAAGCAGTCCCTCAAACTCCTTTTTTCTCTCACAGTTTAGGCCAGACATAGAGGGTCTTTATGCACCTGTGGCAAAGTGAACTTCCAGTAGAGAATGACCTCTATCCTCTGTAACGCTCCACACATTTGTAGGGCAGGGATGGAAACACCTAAGTGACTATGTAATAATAGTTACAAAGGGGAAGCCTCCAGAACCCCAGAGTCAGAGGGGGGTCTATTCTTCCTTTGAGCTAACAACAGAGTCAGAGAGAGGTCTATTCTTCCTTTGAGCTAACAACTCAAACCTACTGAGTCTCTTCGCTGCAGCTATCCAGGGCCATCCAGATTTATCTTTATCACATGCATCCATTATTATAAAACAAAGTGAAATCTTCTTGACCCAGTATTAAAGGTCTTCTAGTAGCTTTCTCCGACTTCCGCATCAGGCCTCTTTGCCACTGGTTCTACACAGATATTCTCATTCACGTAATTACTTTCTAATAAACACATTGCTTTTTCTAAGCGTCTTATCTTTGCTCACATTACCTATTTAGAATGCTTCTCCCTTTCTCTAAATTCTCATCCTTCAAGAGCTGCTTTTGTCCCATCTCTTCTGTGATGGCTTCCTGATGATCTTAATTTTTATACCAATATCGCTTTTCACACACTGCCTAATATTATTCATTTTTATGTGTTCATTTCTTCCTTTTCATCTAACATATAAATTCCTTAATGGTAGGGAACATGTATTAGATTACTTTGTAACTTCTGTAATACCTGGTAGTCTTGTATGTACATGCTCAACAAATAATTAATGATTAGTTTGTGTGCTCATGTTTTTTAATTACAAAATCATCATAATATTTTAGGGTTTTATATGCTTCTTAGATTCTGAATGTCGTTATTAAGTTTAATGCTAGATTCTTTATTAGAACATCTTTTTCACTCCATTGTGATTAATCCCTGTTTTAGAAGTTCATTTTTTTGAGGTTGGTATCAATTATTGTCTGTTGGTTACTCTGTTAGCCAGTTTAGTAATTAGATTCCTCCATTCTACTTCAGCAAGAAGTTGAGAACTTTAAGAAGCTAAATCTCATTAGTAAAGAGCAGTTTGAAAACCTAACACCTGAACTTCCTTTTGAGCCAAACCAAGAAGTTCCTGTAGCACCTTCACAGTCCAGGCAAGGTATGTAAATCTGCTTTTGTGTAAGTGTCTGAATAGTATTAAAGCAGTTCTGAATTGTTTTGAAAAATTACTCCTTTTTTTTCTTTCTTTGTGGAAAATCATTAGGTAAATGGTAAAATGCTAGAATTTTAAAACTCAACTTTTATCCTTTTGTGAACTTCTATGATCACACCAGGTTATGCTCAAAGCCAGAGGCTTACTTAGAAGTAGGCAGAATTTGTTGGTTCTTTATGTATCTGATGTGATTTTAAGATTGCTGGGAATGTTTCTCTTCCAAAAATAAAATTTTTCACTGACTCACTGATCCTAAGAATGCAATAGAGTCATTCTTTTGTTTTAAAGTCTTAGCTGTGTGTGACAGTGTAAATAAATACATTGGGAGATCCATAAATTGAATCTGACATTTCAGACAAGTATAACTGATTTCGTTATAGTCTTTTCCCGAAGGTGGTTAAAAAAAAAGATTTATAAAAAGTCATACATGGCCGGGCGCGGTGGCTCAAGCCTGTAATCCCAGCACTTTGGGGGGCCAAGACGGGCGGATCACGAGGTCAGAAGATCAAGACCATCCTGGCTAACATGCTGAAACCCCGTCTCTACTAAAAATATAAACAAAACAAAACAAAACAAAACAAAAACTAGCCGGGCAAGGTGGCAGTGCCTGTAGTCCCAGCTACTGGGGAGGCTGAGGCAGGAGAATGGCGTGAACCCGGGAGGCGGAGCTTGCAGTGAGCTGAGGTCCGGCCACTGCACTCCAGCCTGGGCGACAGAGCGAGACTCTGTCTCAAAAAAAAAAAAAAAAAAAAAAAAAAAAGTCACACATATACAAAGATAGAGTGAATTTTATAATAAAACTCCCATTTTCCTGTTATACTTAATCACTTATACCCAATTTTGTTTTGTCTCAACTCCAGTCACTCCTATACCTCCCTCTGGATTATTTTGAAACAAATTCTCAATCATATGATTCATATTTTTTTATCCCTAAATATTTCTGTGTGTGTCTTTAAAAAGATAAGGGCTGTATCTTTTAACACATAAATTAGCAGGACATTATTTCTAAAATTAACAGTAATTCCTTAATGTGAAATATCTAGTTAGTGTTCAAATTTCCTCATTCATCACTTTTTTTTTCCAGTTTCTTCAAATAGATTGCAATAGATTGATATGTCTTTTTTAGTCTACAGGTTTCTACTGTTTTTTGCCTTATAATTTATTGGTCCTTGCAATTTGGCATTTAAGAAACTGGGTTGTTTGTCCTGTAGAATTTCTCACATTCTGAATTTTGCTGATTATATCCCCATGGTCTCATTTAACCTGTTTTCTAGTCCTGAGTTATCTATGACTGTTAGTTCAGCATAGAGGCTTGATTAGATTAAGACTCAAATCTCTGTAAGCCTATGTCATATGTAGTATTGAATACTATTAGGAGATACATAATGCTGTATTGTCTCTTTTTGTAATGTTAGCGGTCATTGATGATCAGTGAGTGAAGCTTTTATTTTACTAGGGGTTGCAAAATAGTGATGATTCTATTTTTAATCATTACATCTTACCTTAATAGGTAGAATACTTTTATAAAGAGAACTTTCCTCAGAATATTTATTTATTCTGAGATAGAGTTCTTATAGGAAACTGAGTCAGTGCTGAATTATTTCCTTTTGTTTACTAGTTTCAAAGTACTAGCTGGTTCCTTAACATTCTTCGCTGGTGACTAATGAAGTTTTTGTTTGTTTGTTTTTAAATGATCACTGTGAACTCATAAATACATGAGATGGGTTTCACTCTATTATAGTTATTATTATTATTGATACCTGTGCCAGTTATCAGTTTATTGACTGTTAGCTCTAAAGCCACCTTTCATTTTCTTGCTCAGTAATAATGGAGTTGGACTGTTAACTTTAATGTTTCCCACCCCACACAAGGTTGAGCTTTGTCAGTACCAGACCTGCTGCTGAGTTGGTCCTTGTTTCTAGGCCTTTTGAATAGAAAGAGCTAGGAAATTTTTTAAAGAGAAAAATATATTATGTATTCATTTTGATATTTTCTGTCTAAATTTAAGATTATAGGTTTTAATTTTAACTTCTTTGATTTTGTAGTTGTATTGCTTTTTACTTACATATAAAAAATCTTTCTTCCTAACCACAGTAACATAATTATTTATTTGCTAATCCTATGATATAATAGTTCCAGAATAACAATAACATTAAATAACAATATTATAAATACTGAAAGGAAACTTCTTTTAGAGTTCTTTAAACTTTAGACTTTTAAAAACTTCATACTTTAAAGCTTTCTTTAAGGTTCTTTGTGTGTCCCACTAGGGATGTTCAGTTAAATTGCTGGATTTTTTGTCTTGTTAAATTTGAATACTTTAAAATTGAGAATGTATGTTCCTTTGCACATCATAGAAAGCATACAAATAGCAAATAAAGAGATAAATTTGGCATTGCATGACATTAACAAAGAATTAATAGCAGAAATCTAAAACCTTAAAAATTAATGTGAAAAATGGCAAACATTGACAGAAAAAGTAGTAAATAAAACATGAACATCAGTTTCATATTTGGGAAGACCAAATGGCCAATAAATATGAAAAGCTGCTATTTTTATTGAGGTTTTCCAATTAAAACCATAGTGATACACCATATTATAACCTAGCAGTTTCATTTCAAGAGATACTGTGGCAGGCCGTTGTGACTCATGCCTAAAATCCCAGCACTTTGGGAGGCCAAGGCAGGAGGATCACTTGAGCCCAGGAGTTTGAGAACAGCCTGGGCATACTGTTGCAGATGTTTACCAAGAGAATATTTGCAGTATCATTGTTCATAATAGAAAAAAGCAATTGAAAACTAAAAAATGCTCAGTTATAGTAGAATGTATTATAAGATGTGGTGTATTCATACATAGGAAAAATAGGCAGCAGTGGAAAATGAAAGAACTAACGTTATACGTGACGAAATGTGTTAATCTAAAAATATAGGAAAAAATAACAAAAATAAAAAATAAAAAAATAGGATGTATAAAATAAGCTAGAACAAAGAAGTTCATTCAATGTAATGCTATTACATAAAGTATAAAATTCATGGATATATGCATAGCACATAGGAGCCATGAATATAAGCAAGGAGAATTATTAATATAAAAATTTAATATATTAATTTACTCCTGAGGGTGGGGGAATCCCATCTGGAAGGTCTGCATATGTGTTTGCTAGCGTCTGGAATTTATGTATTGGTCTAGTTGGTTGGTATGAGTGTGTATCAACTGTATTTTAAAATTTATATATAAATCTATTAATTTTTATTTGTGTGCTGCAATCTCTAGTTTTTAAATATATGAACAGAAAAGTATAAAAATAAAGCAAAAATTTAAAAAAGATAGAATTTGACCCAATATATTGCTATGACAGGAAATGTTGAATAGATTAATGTTCAAATTAAAAGATAATTTTAATCTTAAAATTAATTGGGCTTAAAAAATTCACTCTATGCTAGTTATATGTCATAACATATGGAAATATTAGAAAGTAAAGGATGGGAAATCATATAAAAGAATGATCCTAATAGAAAAGAGTTGGTATTGCCATTACAATATAGAATTTAAGGCATAAAGAAGGAGTTTATTTTCACTGTCTTCAGTATCTATGTTCCTATTTATTCCCTATGCCTGCTCCAAACAGGCCTCTGTCCTCCACATCCCAAACCAGCTACTGATAATATCACCAGGAATCTCTATATATATCTCAAATCAGTCCTTATCTTACCTGATGTCAGCATTAAATCAAATTAATCGCTCTGTCCTGAAACATATTTTTACTTCCTGAACACTTATTCACTTATTCTCCTTCTGCCTCATGGAGTCTTTTTTGCTAGTTCTTCGCTGTTTCCCTAACCTCTAAAATTTGGATGCTTTAGGACCCAGTCCTCAAATTTCTCCTCTTTTGAATCCTCATTAACTCCTTGTGTAATAGCATCAAGTCTCATGGGTTTTAAAGAGCATTATTATACTAATGAGTATCAAATTAATATGTATAGACCAGACCTACACCCTGTATTTCAGACAAATATTCAACTGTATGGTTAACAGTTCTACTTGTATATTTTATAAGCATGTTAAATTTCGTATGTCCAAAATCTAAGTTCTGAATTCCCACCCCTCTCCAAGGACTTTTCCTCCTAGACTTCCACATCTCTGTAAATATTACCTCCATTTTTCCAGTTGCACAGGTCAAAACATTTCTGTGTCATTTTTGATCTGTTTGTTTTTTAAATTCCATATCTTATTTATGGGAAAGTTATATATATTTAAAATATATCTAGAATCTAACCACTTCTCACTTTCTCCATCTCTATCACCCTGTAAAAGTCACCATCGTTTTCTCCTTGGTTAATTGTAATAAACTCCTAGCCTGTCTCCCTCCTTTCATTCTGACCACCCTACAAATATCCAGTTATATTTTTTGTTTCCTCTTAAAAATTATATTTAAGGTGTACAACATGATGTTTTGATATATATATCGTGTAATGGTTACAATAGTCAAGCAAATGAACATATTATCTCACATAGTTACCTTTTTTGTGTGGCAAGAGCACCTAAAATCTCTCTTAGCAAAAATACCAAGTATAATATAATTTTATTAGCTGTTGCCCTCAGGTTGTACATTAGATCTCTAGACTTATTTATCCTACATATCTGCAACTTGGTATTTTTTGACCTACATCTCCCCGTTCTCCCTCATCCCACCCTTGGTAACCACTGTTTTATTATCTACGTCTATATACTTTTTTTTAAAGATTCTATGTATAAGTGACATTATGAAGTATTTTTCTTTCTGTGTTTGACTTATTTTATTTAGCATAATGTCCTCCAGTTTCATCCATATTGTAGCAAATGGCAGGATCTCCTTTTTTTAAAGGTTTAATTATATTCTATTCTCTCTCTATATATATGCACATATATATACACACACACACATATACACATGTATACACATATAT